TACCCGAAAAGCGAACGTAATGAAATAAAGCGACGAACAGCGAAAGAGATGGATATACACACCTAGAAAGAGAGGGAGAGAGAGAGGGAAGGCTACAGAGTAGAAGTAGAAATAACCCCAAAAAAATAAGCAACAACTGTGAGTTTGCTTGCTGCTTTTGGTTTTTTATCAGCGTGAGGATCTCTTATCAACTCGCTTGAATCTTCGCTCTCAGCGGAGTTTTTTTGTTCAGTGCAGAAGAGGGGGAAGAGTGGGGGCATCGAGGTCAGAGGAGGAACAGCAGGGAAGCGGGGGTGTGACTCCAAGTGCTGCGTCATTCGGATTTGCAGCCAAAACACTGAAACATACTGGAAGATCTATAAAAAAATAAAACCTTTATTACAAAAAAACTTTTCTGTAAGAACAAGACAATGAATTTAAAAAAAAAATAACTTACTAGTATTGTAATGGTAATTGCAGTACAAATGTTGCTTATTTTAAACATGATTAAACTATGACTTGTTCATAATATATTTTTTGAGAATAAAGAGAACAAATATTTATCGCTTGAATGCTTTGCTTTCGCTAAAATTTGTAGCTGGCTAATTTTCTATTTTCGTTTAAAAATCTAAAACTAGCTTAAATTTAAATAGCATAGCTTATGTTTTCTGTGTAGTGTTTAACTTTACTTGTTTCTGCTTCTGTAGTTTGTTGTTGTTGACTTTGTATTTTTAGCATATTTTCTTGAAAACACTTTTTCGATGTAGTGCAATCAGCAGACGTTGATCTGTCACATTTGTTCATATTTATGTCAATAAATGAGCACGTAACAACAATGATACACAGCAACAAAAATGCACACGCACACAGAGCGAATCGTAAGTGCCGACTTGTAGCAACATAATTGCAAAACAATTGCTTCTGCATGCACCAAAAAAGAGATGGCAGAACAGGGGGGAAAGAGAAGGTGCGAGTGTTGGCAGTTCATCACCCCAACAACAACCAGCAGCAACATCAACAACAACAACAACGCCAAACAACCGCAGCGGGCGTATTTATCTAAAACCTTTTTGCAGATATTCACGCATGAAGTGTTTATCGCTGCATAAGCTCAAAACACAAAAAAACACCCACAAAATGTGGAAAATATATTCTAACACATAAGCAGGCAAGAAATGCTAAAGTTGATAATGAAAGCAAAACGTTACAAACATTGAATACCCAGTAGCTTATAACAAAGGGGGAAAGTTAAGGAAAATATAACATATTATTATAATATATATTTATGGTTTAAAAAAATGTTCAACCAATAGACATTATTATTTATTTATTTTTTATTTTTGATAACATGAAATCTCTTTTTAAGCCCTTAAACCCTTGAAACTCCTTTGTATTTTGGCCAAAGTCTTAAGAAAAATGTGTTGTACCGTGATACCTTTCAGCTTCTAAAGCTAGGTCAAATATGAAATAAAAACTGTTAACGACATGACTTTTATCATTCAGATAGACCCCTCTTTGTCGCACGTTCCGCTGGACTTATGCGTCCTCGAAGTGCAATATCTCGTGGGTATCTAGGGTATCTTAAAGTCGTGCCGAAAACCTTGGGCGCAGGGGTTAAGCGAAGGGGGTTGCAAGGGAGTTGGCGGCAAGCGGCACGTTTAATGAATCTAATTAAAAGTCAACAATGGCTAACGAGATAATCGTCGCAAAGGCACCAGCAGACAACAACGGAGTCGTCGGCGGGGGGTGGTGGTGGGTTGGATTGCTTATAACTCTGTAGATATTCGTATAACTATACCTCTAGGCCACAACGCATGCGCAACATCATGCGGTGGCAACAGCTGATTACGGAGAGCAAAACGAGAGAAAAAGCGGATGAGCTGGAGAAACCAGGCGGCGATTGTTATCGCTGGGAAAGAAGAAAACGTTTTCTTTTTTTGCATCTGCAAAGTTGCCAGTGAAATGGAAATAAACCAAACGCCGATAAGAATCAGATGGGGAGTGCCAGGAAGGAACGAAAACGAGAGAAAGAGTAGCAAGAGCAGCATAAAAATAGATCTACATCGGGCGATAAGCTCGCTCGCCAGGAAAACCGAGAAAACGCTGAACAAAAGCACCAGCCCCGTGAGCCAAAAGCTGCAGAATGATGATGGAGAGTTGATGGAGATGCAGATAGAAATGGCCATGTGGATGTGGATGCGGCGGCAGCAGGTGAATGATAAGCGACGGGGAACGCTGTGCGAAATCTCATTGCACCAGAGTAAATACACTGCAATGTACTTAAATTCATCTTACCAAAGAGTTGACTTAAAACAATCTGTTTCTGAAAAACGAGTATGTTGTCCTTTTGTACTTGTAATTAACAAAAAATCCCTTATTTATATTCCCAATGAGATTGTCCAAATGTACACCCCATTTTGCTCAGTGCATTCAGATACAGATACAGAGATACAATTAAACACAAAACGCTTATCACTAAGCAATAATCAGAATTCCATTAGCCGTAGACGCGATATCGCTAAAAAGCATCTTCCTCGCGCACAGACACTCACACACACACACATACACACACACAAGCACACCCTCTTTGAATGTATCTTTGTATCTGTATCTGCAGTGGGTCGGTTCGGTGTTTCAGTGTTTGTGTATCCGTTCGCTGCTGGTTGGTTGGCTGGCTGGTTGCTTGGTTGGTTCTGTTTCAGCGATGCTATCTAAGCGCAGAGCTCGCCGCGCTGCGCCGCTTATCAGTGCTTTATCAGTTTTTGTTTCGAATAATTCCGAGGCGAGCGAAGGAAGTCGACCGCAGCAGAGAGCCTCGGTCTCGGGCACAATATCTTATTTCAGTTGGCAGCGGAGCGAAGAGAGTGTCTCGGCAGCAGATACGAATCCCAGTACGAATCCAGTGCCAGTTCGACTACCAAAGATAAACAACTTTGGCCCGGCGTTGTCCCGGCATCAACAAACATCAGCTGTGCTGTGCTGAGCTGTGCTGTGCTGTGCTGCGTCGTCATCGTCATCGCCGCTCGGTTCGCTCGGTATCTGTATCGGTTGTATCTGTATCTCACAGCTCACAGCTCACAGCGGCGCACGAAAATTTCATTACTCACCGCCTTGCCTCAGCCGGTCCGAGTTTCAGTTTCAGTTTGCTGTGGAACGCGGAGCAAGCAGCAACCACGAGCGGTACGCGCGGTACTCATATTCAAAGCGGTTCGAGGCAGAGAGAACGAACGAACCATTCGATACGACACGTTCGTCATAACGCAAATTTGAATAATTGTATTACAGTGTACAGTGAGTGAGTCAAAGTGAATTCCCACGTGAAGTGACAACATAATTGCCGCATAAGTACGGCCCAAACCGAAAGCCAAAACATGTGCGAGTGAGAAAGTGAAAAGCCACAACTAAACCTGGATTATCTAGCAAGTGGATTACTATTTATATGAAAACAATGCTTAGCAGCAACACGAGAGGTGAGAGAAGTTTAAACAAAGAAGTTTAAAGCAACTAAGACCAAAAAATATCCTTCTTTGTTGACGTTGTTAGTAACTTAGAAAAAGTTTAAAAGAAAATATAATATTATTTTTTTTAAATACACCAAAAGACCAACTATCATTACTCCAAAAATCATGTACACGTCATACACGAAATGAAAATTTAATCTATGAAATTTTGTCTTGTTATTTTTCTATAAAAATGTTGATTTCCTTAAGTTTTTGATTGAAATGAGTATAAGACTTTGTATGCAAACATATTAATCACTTCTATAGAAATAATATAAGTGTACTACAGTGTTTGTTTTTTCAACGAATTATTTTGAACTTAAATTTATGATTAAACTGAAATTATTCATTAGTTAGTTAATATTGAAATTAAAATCAAAGTATAAAATGAAATACTTGGAATATATAAATACACAATTATAGAAATACATTTAGACTAGTTTATTTAATAAAGTGTGGTTTTAGGAGTCACCTATAAGCGAGGCTCAGTAGAAGTTCCCGCTCAATTCGCTGAACCCTCAAATCAACCTGCAAGTCATGTGTGGGTGTAGGGAACGGCAAATCCCGGCAATTGCCATCGAAGCCAGCCTTTGGACCCTGGCCCCCTGGCCGAAAAAGGGGGGCTTAGAGTGTGGGGAAGAGTGAGAAGAAGGGTCCCCCCGGGTACCGCTTGTCCTGCCCGACATGTCCGACACTGTAGTCCAAGTCCAAGTCCGCATTTCGCGTCCATGGCAGCCAGCTTTCAGTTGTTTATCAGTCTCCTATCTGCGCTGTGTGGCTTCACATTCATTCCACGGCCTCAGTTTGGCCCGGCTCATATGTACATACGTATCTGCATCTGTGAGTACGAGTACGAGTATCTGTATCTGTGTGTGTGCTGCGCTATCTGCGATCTGCGGCGAACGAAGAAGAAGAGGAAGCAGAGGGGGCCGCAGAGGGGAGGAGCTGAAATAAAAACGAAGGAATTCTGCGGATTGTTGTTATTATTGTTATTATAATTCCTTGAAGTGAATAATCAGCGAAATAAAATCAAAAATGAGAAAAACAACACAGAGAAGAGGAGTACGTTGTATAGAGGGGGTACCGTACCGTACCGGGTACTGTATTGTAATCGAGTGGAGTGAAGTGAAGTGAAGGCTTGGACACCGGCCTCGCAAACAACCAACAAACCAACCAACCAACCAACCAACTACTGTGCGTAGTAGTAACTTTGCCAACAGAAAAAGATACAAAGATACTGGGCAACAGAGAATGGGTGGACAAAACCAAACAATGCGGCCCTCGCAGCAATTATTATCGCTTTTAAAGTAAACCCATTTGGCTGGAACTATCTGCGATATATATCTGCAATTATTAGTCGAGACCTTTGGGCATAAAATATCCGTAAAATTCAGATTATGCCTTAACGTTTGTTTATGACTTAGTTTGGGTAACACTATGAAATATTATTATTTATTAGCTAATAAATTAAATATTCATTCATACCTAGATTAAATTATAATTTCTCTCTCTCTCTTTTAGGTGATTGTTCCGATACCACAGAAGAGATGACCGTCGACAGTAGAGGTAAGCCGACTGGAAATACTTGAATGAATATGAAAATCCTCCTCCAAATAGGCTACATCCTGTCCCCTGTCCGTTGTCGGTTGTCCTTTTGTCCGTCGTTCAATCCGAGATAAGTTTGCAGCTTAAACGAAATGGGCCAAAGCCAAAAAATAAATTCTTATCTGTGCGACTGCAGGAAACAGGCGACTGTCCCCGTCCCGCTCTCTATCTATGGCTGTCCCCCTCTGACAGACATAACCCGTTAATGCCCAATAATAAATTTCCTTTCGATGTGTGTAGACCCAGGAATATTCCCCCATCTCTGCCGCTTAGCTGCAAGCTGCTGATATTGTGCCAATAAAAATTTAATCCCAAAAAATGATGAAGACGACGAGAGAGCTCTCTAATTTAATACAATTTTTATCAGTGCACTGGCACTGTTTCCATTCGCCTGCTGCGGTTTTTGTGATTTTGACACCTCAGACCTCAGACATCAGACCTTATAAACCAAACCCATTCGGTAAAAGAGGGTGGCGGCGACACAACCCTCGTTTCAGTCGCTCCGATGGACTGCAGGAAATGACAACGGGTCAAGTTTGTCTCTCGCTCGCACTCAGTGTCTATTTATAAGAGCCCTTTCCATTATTTTGTAACCCCTTGGTTAACCCTCCCTCTTGGGTGGCATTTTGACTTCACTCCGACATCATTGGCATCAATTTCATATCACTTCATAATCATCAGCAATGTCAACGTCATTGAGACGATGTCTCTGACCCACGGTCCCCCCCAACCCGACCCTTCAGAGTTTCCCAGGAGCGGAATTGAATGTTTTCAGTAGATAAAGGGTGGCTGTAAACCCCGAGGATTATCGTTAAGTTCAGGGAACAATTTTAGAGTTTAGCCGAAAAGCTTTGAATATTTAGCTCTTGATTTGCAATTAACCCAATTTGGTGTTGTTTATTTATAATAAGTTTAGTTTAGATTTAGGTTAATGAGCAAAAAAAGTTCCAAAACTAACAGATATGTTATTTTTTTCATATTTATTAGGAAGCAAATTTAAAACAATAAATTTTCAGATTTGCCCAAATCACATTGGGCAGCTTAATCCGTAATCTAAAACCTCAACTCCGCTCCTTCTCTTTTCTGGCACTACATTCCGAACCATTTCGCTGCCATCTCGAGCATTCATCATTAATAATCCCCCGAAACTGGGAGCAATTGGAGCAGGGTATCCCTATCCCCAGCCTCTCCAAATCACAGCCCTTCCACGTGGCCGTTTTTATGCTGCGTCAGTGAAAGATTTCCAGCAAACCACACACACACACACACACACAGGGCCACGGCCAAAAAGACAGATGGAATCGGGAATGGGGGCAAAAATAAGGGGGGCGGTCGAGTGGCCAGTGGGCGTAACAGTTCGCCTAAAAAGTGGGCGTTTGTCTGGGCTAATCTTTATCTGGCTGTTGACACTCCATGGCGACGCCAAGCGACCGAAGAGTCGAGGCCAGTCAGCCAACAACAAACACGTGGGGAAAAGTGTGTGGCATTCCTTTTGGGCCTGCCCCCTGCCACCACCCACTTTCCCCCCAATTTTTTGGCCAAAGATTGCCTCACTTGCATTGCCAAATTGGATTAGGCCCTCGGTGGTGGTGGTCTTTCCACATTGATTCCCCTAGAAGTGTTTATTTATTTAATTATAGCTTTTCATATTTTTCAGGATCTTAAATTTAAATCATTTATTCATTCATTTGTTTTATATTCATTCTAGATAAGATCTTTGGAAAACAACAAGGGAAAAACAAAACATTTTTGAAATTCGGATAGTTTACTATAAAACATCAAACGATCTTGGATATATCTATGTTTTCTGTCTTGAAAATGTCTTTAATTGGCAAATAGTCTCAAAATCAATAGTACACTTTTAGAATATTTTAATTTTTATGAACTTCGTTCTAGATAAGATTTTGGGGAATAGGCAAACCTAGTTTTTAAAATATTTTCTGATCTTAACCCTTCAATAAGAAAATGTACTTAAAATCCATACGATATTTTCAGAATGTTTAAGTGTTACACCTTTTTTCCCCTCTGAAGGGTATTCCATCTTCTGTGTGTACTTTTGTATCTTTTACGTTTTTCTGGGTCCGCCCCTTGTGGCGTTTGTTTGTTGGTGGTGGCTTCTGCTGCTGCTGCTTGGATGCCACTGTGCCTCACTCCGCTTTTCCTGCTTCACACGCTGGTGTATCTGGCGATGATGATGATGACGTTGCTCACTTTTGGCGCTCTTCATTTGTTGTTGCTTCTGTGCAATGTACTGTAAGCGCATCTCCCAGTGTCCCTGTCTGTGTGTGTGTGTGTGTTTGTATTCCTGTGAGCGCCTGCCTCGAGCCTGTGTGTGTGTTTGGTTTTTATCTATGAAATTCATGAATGCTTCGGCTTATCTTGCAGAATTGCATACTTGCAGCCCAAGCTCTCCCCCTTTTTGGCCTGGCTTTTTGGTTGGCTGGTACTCTGCTTTGCCACTCGGTTGTTGGCTGTTGACTGTTGGCTGCCTTCTAATGGCGCTAAGTGGTGACCCCCTCGTGGCAGCCCAGCCCTCTCTTCGAGTCCTCTCTAATGGCATTTTATCTATGGCATAATTTTTTATTATGTCTCCCTCTGTGGCCGCACTGGGCTGTGCTGTTGGCTTAATGACAATCCAGCCAAACCGAACGAACCGAACCACACACAGACAGCGAGTCAAATTGTTAGATAGCTTTTCGGCATGTAATTAATCATTTGACAAGGTTTAAGCTCCGTTTCTCTATCTCTATATCCACTTTTTTTGGGTTCATGCGGGACGCATTGCAATTGCTGCGGGCCAAAGGCGGCAACGGCGAGTGCAGCCAAACACAAAAAACATCGACGGCCAGGGTAATCGAAAAAAAAAGCATTACACGGCGCTCGGCTCTATCAGCTGCGTTCCATCAACACACAGCCCTTTCCCTTGTTCCCTCTACTTTAGCCCCCCTCCATTCTTATCCTTACTAAAAAATACCAAGTATACGACATGTGGGCTGGTGTAAGTGTACCATAAAACAGTAAAATCGTACAGGTTGGGTGCCTACTATTTTCTGGATTTATGATTGGGTATATAAAGCACTGCAATAGCACTTCATTGCCTTCGTCTTTTATGCTTTGCTTTATTTCGCATCCATAAACTTGGGGTATTAGGATTTCAGGGGAAGAAATATATGTTTTACTATTTTAACAATAAATTTCAGGAAGACATTTTCTTTTGGAAGTATATGTTTGCTAAACATATAAAAAATAGCATGCTAAGGTCGAATTCTGTTTATTTAAATGATCTTCCTAGAGCTAAAATTACAATATATCTTAAATAACACATATTTTTCAACTAAATAGCTTTGTAGTTGTTCTTATTTTTATCTAGGACTTTCATAATTTTTTGCCTGTGTTCGAAAGCAGAAACAGGATCCAAAGTGGCAGCCCCGTAATCCTTTTTGCGGCGCGGCATTTATGAAATGTATTCCCGCCTTATCGCTGGCCACAGATCGCAGCTGGTGGTCCTGCTGCCTCTTGGCTGCCTAAACTCCCGCCTGACCCATGGTCCTTGGATTCGGATGATGATGATGATGATGATGATGGGTTCGACTTGGGGGCTTTGGTCATAAAACACTCGCATCAAGTCGAAGGAGGACAGTCCTTTCTGCCTTGTCCTTGCGGTTGCGCAGACAAAGGAGGTGGAAATTGGACGAGAAGGATAAGGAGAAGGAGCCAGGGGGTTGGCCTCACTTTTTGCGGTGGCCATAACACCAAACGCAATCCTTTGGATAAATTTTCTTATCTTTGTCGACCAGACGACGATATTATTTTTAATACAACAACCGAAATTTGTATGTTCGTGTTCGTGTGTGTGTGTGTGTTTGGCTCGTAAATGTGCGTGTGCCAGTGTGAGCGTGTGTGATTTATGTTGTAATTTTTTTTATGTATATGGCAAGCATTATAGGGCTCTTTATCATGCCCCCAAAAATAAGGGATTCTAGGAGAAGGAGTTGTAGGTCTAGAATGAAATTTAAATTTCGCTAAGGAAAGACCCAACTCTTTTTAGGAATTATGGCTCATTACTTTTTAAGTCTTCTAAATCCTTAAAAATTTGGATTGATTGCATAAAAATGTCGTAAAGTTTTTAGGAATACATGACTTGGCGAAAAAGTGGAGCTATTTTTTAAGTTTAAATATAAAGTTTTTTTAGTGAATAGGCTACTTTATTGGATTAAGCATTTTTTTCTAGTTTATATAAATACAATTATTTATTTGCTAGATCTTTCTAAAATATTTCTTTCTGATCTTTTGATCTCCTAGATCTTTATTATTTTAGCACCTTTTAAAGGCTTTAAACCACTTAAATCGATATTGAGAAATGGCATTAAGCATTGACACATGCCTGTCAAACAATTAGCTGCAAATCAGCACGGCGCCTTTTTATCCCATGAATTCCTTTTCTTTCGCTCGTCATCTGAGTTGAACTTGGATTTCTATTAACCCCTTGTGACAGCCACCCTCTTTTACTTTCCCATATTCTCATGGCTGTTTGAATGTGGCTTTTAGCCGTTTACCAACTGCTTAACTCACGCACGAATGACCCTCGTCATTGATGTTGATGATTCCTGATTGATTTTGCTTTGGCTGATGATTGCTGGTTGTGTTTACTGACTTATTTGTACAGTGCGAAAGTTGATCGGCAATCCATGCGCCTAAATCGACTTCAAGCTACCACATTTGTCGAGTCAGAATTGTGTATGGTTTTAATTTTGTGGTAAAAAAAACGGCATTATCTCCCCTGAGTTACCCTGAGTTTTTGCAACACTTTCAGAGCTCATTACAAGCTGTTAGCAGGCACTTTGCACTTCATCATCTCCAGGTAGCCCTCTGTCCTTCCTTCGGCTGAATGCCTCCTGCATTTATGGCTTATTTGCTGCCTGTCAGTCACTTGGCTGCCTCCCATCCGCCACTCCCCTGCA